CCAGAGGGTCATCCCGTTTTTCCTGTAACATACATGTTTCATACCCGAGTTCCATTGCCTATTCCTGGAAGCAATTGATGGTCAACGGGTGTAAGGGACCCGGAATCTGATCGTCTGATCGAACGTAACCGCAGATCTAGTTAGAGATTCCGAGGAGACCGGGTAGGGTGGCTCGTGTGTGCTTTCATATAGTACCGAATGTGTTGTGATGGCTGGCGTGAGAGGTAGTCTAATGCCTTTTTCGAGTGGCTACATGGCGTTTGGCAGTCACTTTAGGATTTGTCTGACCTTCGGACCACTCTCAGGTCGCATTTGCCCAGTCGTTTTCGAAATAAGTGTATCCAGCTGCACTTACTGACTTCTTATGCAAACCAAAAGACCTCAAAACGCTTAAAAACTAACCTAAAATTTAGGTTTGGTTTTAATTTTATAAAAATTGTGCGTTTTATTACTCATTGAAGTGTTTTACATATACGATCTGCGAAATGTGCATTTACTATGCGAGTTATGGTTTAATGACAACATTTCTAAAATCATTACGGAAATTTTAGATAGCGATTGTTTATTATTATCTTGTTTTGTGGATATTTTTTCCCAGCGTTTAAATGTGCTACTGGTAGGCAGCTTTTATCATAAGTGCGACTTAATCAAAATGATGGTTTTATGGTTCTTCCTCGTCTTGCCCTTGGTTTCTTCTTTTCCCTTTTCCTGCCATAAGTGCGATGAGAACTGTCGTGTCAGATATGTATGTTGGTTGTTTTTTATCATCATATATTCCAGAATAATGGGAGTCTTGTGGAGGCATGCGTCTATGGATGCCATTCATTTGTCGGTCCCTATGCTCACACAGATGAATTTGGTGTAAACCTAAATTGTGAACAGGGATGCAGTCATTTTGCTGATGATGATTTGAAGTCGGCTTGTTATGTTGGCTGTACATACATACCTCCCATGGAAATCGGGGAGCCCCAAAACGATCCTATGCCTATTTTCGACACTCTCAGAAGTCCAATCATGTCAAAGTTTGTCGCTGTGTCATTTCCTTTATTTTTTCTAGAATTTTCTCCCTTTTCGTAAATGGCAACGGTCGTAAGTTAAATTTTAATGAATCCGATTTGCTTTCAGAGCTTGAGGAAGGCCAGCTGCCTGTGAGGGAAACGCATGTTCGTGTTGTGGTTCCTAAAGGTATGTCATCGCATCAGAATTTATGTCAACGATGTAGATCCTTCAGATATGATGGACGACGAAATGTATGTTATGATGAATGTCATGCACGATTCGAATGAGGAACCCTCTGACCCTCTGCAAGCGATACCCCCTTCGTCGAATGATGATCATTCGGAAGTGTCTACCTTTGCACGCACCTTTTGCCGTCGAGCTCGTATTGCGCTCCACAACCTTGCATCTCATCCCCTCTTCCTGGTCTCCATTATTCTGATGTTTGTCAGTAGTGTTACTCTACTCGCGTTTGCTTGTGTGCGTCTCAGTGCCCGTCGTGCGCGGTGGACCACCTTCCAGCGTCAGTATCGAGTCAGTTTCTGTTTTGCCATAGTATGGTCGTTTCTATCCCTAGCTTTTATGCTCTAGTCAGTAACTTACTTGACTTACCTTCATCCGCCTCTTAAAACGTATTATTTTACGCTACTGTGCCATGTAAGTTGACAATTTTTAAATTTGGCTTTGATTTATCTTTTTTTGGTTTTAGCGTATGCCGGCCTTCTTTAAGCCTGCGTCAGTAAGTGTCAGTCTGTTGACGCCACAACCGACATCTGAGGATGATGAGGCTTCAGAACTCCCACCAAAAGAACCATTCGATCAGAAAGATCCTGTGCGATGGGATGAGCACCGCTGGAACTCAAATTCGTCTTTCGCCTAACATCATTTAACATTCCTGCATTCCTCTCTTACGCCACTTTTCACACTCATATTTTGCGTGTTCCACGTTTCATCCTTCGTCCTTTGCGACTCTAGTAATTGCGTTTCACTCGCAAGTGCTACCAAATTATTTGTCATTATTAACTAATAAAGTTCTTAGTAAGTATTCGTTTTATTATCACTAATGTGCTTCAGGTATTTGTTCTGAATCGTCCCCAGTCTTATGCCGAAACTGGTGCTTTTTATTCGTCGATCTTCACTTATCAGAGTTTACACGTTCTGTCTTTGAGAGGGCTCTGTTAACGTCAGTTTGCAATGGTTGGCCGTACTTGAACAACTAAGTCGCGTTTCACGCCGTTATGGTCATGATTGGTTTTAGGAAGGCATTGATGCTTTGTATCACTTGTGTGGAAAGTCATTCTTTGTCACCACGGCGTCTTCGGTGATTGTTTTGCCCTCTTTTGACTGATTTTGGGCGCAGGTCGATGTATGCAAACATCCACTATCTTGGGTGTCCTACTGTTGAAGAGAGTGAAACTACTCTCTTGTTACTGTTGTTGCTTGCGAACTATGGCTGATTTGGATGCAAATCGCTTGCCAATTTTTGATTTTTGGTCCGATGCTTTCTGGCGCAAAGATTTTGTTTGCGATCAGAACCCCCTTGAAGTCGTTAATAAACCAGGGCCAATCGGTTCTTGCATATCAGATTCTGAAGTGAAGTTTTGGGGTTGCATATACGATCATAGAAAGTTACATCCTCTTCTTGTTTTGGTAACTTTACATTCGCTATGGAAAGTTTAGGAAACAAAAATTTGTTTGGCATGCCCCATTTAGAGTAGAGTTGATGGCTGACACTAAAGTGAACTAGCCTCTAGTAAGAGTTGAAGTATCACCGTTTCAATCCTTCTCAGTTGCAGAAATTCATCCTCATCGTCGCTCAACATTATATCTTAGCAAGAAAAATCTACCCTCTCCTCTTTTCGTTGAACCGCACCAAAATGACCAATTCGGTATATTCATATGTACGCGACTACGAGGCTGAGGTGCCGTGTCTGCTCAACACGTGGATAGTGGTGCGACTCGATGGCCAGGCCTTCCACAAGTTTGCCGACAAACATGACTTCGTGAAGCCCAACGATGAGCGTGCACTTAAACTGGCCTGTGCAGCGGCAAAGCGCGTCATGAGCCAGCACAATGACATTGTCCTCGCCTATGGTCAATCCGACGAGTTTAGTTTCGTCTTTAGGCGATCGACCGATTCATTTAATCGACGTCCGAGGTGTGTTCTGTTTTAAAACTTGTATGAAAATCTTTTAAGTTTAATTAACATGATCTACTATAGCCAGTTTGGTTTGACGTTCAGTTTTGCTTACTAAATGTCATTGAGAAAACAAATCCGTTCTCATTGGAACTCTTGAATTACCTTTAACTGATTGATTAGTTCTGAAGCGTTCTTTTATTTATGGACATCGTTCACCAAACCGTTTCTGTTTTATGTCTTTAATATTCTGCACTTTTCTTGCTAACGTTTACTTTTGCACAAATGAATCTGTCTTGTTGACTGTTTTTGTAAATGTAACTAGTAATTG